TTGCCATGCTTACAGTACTTTTATTTATTTGAACTTTCTATCTAAAAGACACAGACTATCACATGATTACCTTGTGACTTGAATATACTGAGGCAGTGTTAAAGACTTAAAATTGGAGTAAAAGCCACAACATTGCAAGAGAGTTTTCCTGTTGCATAGATCTGTATTTTCTTATCACATAGCATCCTTTAAGCTATGGTTCTAGAAATGCCGGGGGCAGGGGGAACTTGTCCTCTCTGCTGTTTCATACCACTCGCACAACCGAATAACATCATGTAAGTGTGGTGGACGTTTGAAATTGTTTTCATTTTTTGAGCAACATGTACACACATGACTGTCTTTCTACCAAATGTCCAATGAGCCATTTTACTGTCAGTTGACCTTCCTGCAGAAAAGTCCATCATCCTTTTCCTTGGAGTATTTGTGTCAAGAGATGAGCAAACACGGCTACCAAGTCACAAAGCAAAGTGCTCCACAGCACCACTCTTTTACCCTTCATGGCTGGGAAGCTCATGGAGCCTGGTCAAGCCAACATTTTATTTAATAGAGTTGCTTTCTAGATCATTTGTGGTTTACCAGGTTTCTAAAAAACAGATCACAATATAATGCATTTGATTAAAACTCTATTAAACATAATTTCATCATTCTCAGATGCTTCAGAGGTACATCAGGCTCCCACCCTGTTTATGAATCATCTGGGAACATCAGTGTCTTTGTTTGGCAGCCTATGGGCAGACAGGTTAATACCAGTATCTGCTGAATTGTCACAGAAGGAACAAATGGGTTGTTGCGCTTATTGCAATCCAGTGGTTAGTTAGGTATGAGTTTTACGAGTCAGCAGCATTTCAAATACATTTAAATCTGGTGTGTGAAAAGTCAGAAATGTTAACATTTTGTCCTTAACCGAACCATAAAGCAGAGCTTGTGCTGTCATTTGCATACATTAAGGATCCTGTGTGCTTGTCTGTCTGTTTGGACAAATTCTGCTTTATGGGGAAAACAGCACTCTCGTACATTGCTGGAATTATATACTTTTCTGGAGGGCAGTTTATCAATGAATAGCAAAAGCTTTTAAAATGAGTATATGCTTAAGAAATTCTAACTTCTGGGAAATTGTCCTAAAGAAGTAATTGAACAAATGGTTGGAGTGTATCTACAGCGATATCTTTTGCAGCATTATTTGTAAGAACATATAAAGTTGGAAAAAAATCTTAAATGCCCATCAGTAAAAAATTGGTTAAACAGATTATAGTACCTCCGTATAATTGTGTGTGTATCTATCTATATATTTATATATATACATATGTGTATGTATATACACACATATAGAATACTGTGTTACTGTTGAAATTATATTTTGCTATATTAAAAATAGTAATAAACAAGTAAATTAAGGAAATGGTCTATGAAATGATATGTATAACATGATGCCACCTATTAAAAGTGAAAAATATCTCTGCATGTATAGGAAGATGTATGGGAGAATATATCAAATACTTATCATGTTCATATCTGGGTGTCATGATTCTAGGTAGGTAGCTGGTTTTTACTTTCTTCTTTATACATCTTGTATTGTCTGGTTTTAAAAAACAGTAAGTATGTTTTTACTTTAGAATCCAAAAGAATAAATAATTGAGTTTTTTTCAATTTTGAAAGCAAAAAAAAAAAATGTGATGTTCGTTCTTATACAGGGCAGGTTGTCATGGGGGGAGGGCTAAAAGCTCAGAAACTACTGTTTGCTTTGCGCACTGAGAGCTCATGTAGAGAGTCTCATAGTCAAAGAATCTCTATACTTACAAAGTCACTTGGCATGGGCACAATTTCACTGAGAAAATATAAAGTCAACTGATATGTTATTGAGCCAACAACTGGGCATGTTATGATTGAAAATACCATGAAACCATTTTGGCTCTTGCTTGTTCTTAACTTTGTAAACAATTTCAATATGTTTCTTATAAAAGGATCCTTAAAAATCTAGTGCTGGTAACTGTGTATCCTAGGAAAAGATCTACCAATGGAGAGTACTTGTCCATAAATTTGAAGGTATACCAAGCGCGAAGAGTTAGAAGGGACAGTGGAGATTATCTGGTTGTTCAGGTCATTCCTCTGATGTGAAATCACAGATGAAGAAAGGTTAAGTGTGATGAGGCCTGGGTGTCAATTTGAGCTACTGTCAGAGCTAATAGTCAGCAACATCCAGTCATGAAGCACATTGGGTAGGTGGAAAGAGGAAGAGAACATGTCAAATTTTTTTAAGTATAGTGGGAAATTACAGACTTCAGAATAGATTTCATTAAGTGGAGGGTAGAGTTTTGCTTTTAGCATGGGGATGTCATGTGGAGCTTTTATGTCTCTTGTGCGTCTTGGAAGAAGGCCTCAAGTAATAGCCATGATCTCATGACTGATCCAGAGATGTAGAAGAGCAAATTAAGACTTTCTGTTTGATTAGGTTAGGAAACAATCATCGAGGACTCATTCTCCCCGCTGTGGTTAAAGCTATCTACTGAGAAATAAGCCAAAGGAATGTTAGGCCAAGAATCTGAAGGGTAAAGCCAAACCACTGGGAAGAGCTTTCAACTGCAAACTGCAATGGGATTGAATTAGAAAGGAACATTCAAATCATGTCATATCACCTCAAACTCAACAAGTCTAAAATTGAACTCATCTTTCCTCACAAAGCAGCTCCTTAACTGAACTTTCCTAATAACAAAATATTGCCATGTAGAATGTTTTACCATCACATTTCTATTGTTTCATTTGATTGTCACACACAAGGAAATTTAACTCATGTTAATCAAAGGCTGCAAATTAGTAAGGGACCAATTGTAAAAACCAGGTTTTCTGAGTCCTAATATAATCATCCATTATCAACTATATCACACTGTGCTTTTCTCCGTATTTATGGAAACAATCCAGTCAGTTTTATAGAATCACCGACACCTTATTTATATTGGCATTTGAGAATTGCAAACTAGCAGATTTTAGCAAATATGAAGTCAGATTTTCTCAAGTAGCAAAGAACAAACCAACCAACCTTCAGGATCACTTGTCTTGTTTTTTATAAGATACTTCAGTAAGAAAACATTGATAGCATTCTTGTTACTGAAGTCAGAAGATGACACAGCTTAAAGTACTGAATCTAAGCCTAAAAATGCCTAATTTGTAAATCTAACATGAGCAAACCATCAGCAGTCATATTAGGTCCATACTGTTAGTAAAAATGGCATGTTCTGCCATTTTGTTTTCTTAATTTTGCAAATCATTTTGGCTTGTAGTTATATAAGAATTACAAACATGTTCTAGAGATCAAACATGCAACATTGTACCTATAGTTAACAGTACTGTATTGTCCACTTAAACATTTGCTAAGAGGGTAGATCTCATGTCAAGCGTTCTTACAATTAAAAAAATTATGAGCATGAAACATTTATGTATCTGGATTTGTATTTGTAGACATTTAAGTAGCATTGCAATAAAAACACTTTAAATCTCCAATATAAAAAGAAGCCCACTACACAATGTAGCACACCCATATCCCCACCCCCAACCACATCTCCAGCCCCATCCCCACATCCAACTCTATTCCTATATCCACCCCATCACTATCCCCAACCCCACTCCCAATTCCATCTCCAACCCCAACCAAATCTCCATCCCCATCCCCACCCCCAGCCCTATCCCTATATCCACCCCATCATCACCTCCATTCCCAATCCCACCCCCAACCCCATCTCCATCTCTTTCCCCAGCTGCAGCCTCATCCCCACCTCCATCTCCACACCTATCACCAGTCCTGTCCCAATCCTCATCCCTATCCCCATTCCCAACCCACATACCTATCAAGGGAGCTCATCCCTGGGCCAGTCAGCATTTTCTGTCTTCTTGGCATTCTGTATCTCAGCACACATTATACCTTTAAAAGTGACCAAGTCAGGCAGTAGACAGCAGACATTCTTGCTGCTGTCCTGCCCATTGTGCCCTTAACAATGTATCTTCTCTTTAATAAATTTATTTTTCTTGGCTCAAAAAAATTTTAAAAAGTAGCCAAGTCAAGCATACAATCCATTATCTCTTGAGTTTGAGCATCTGGAGTTTCCCAGTCCGAATTATTTGTTTGGAAATAAGTATTAGGAGAAACATGCCTAGCATAATGATACTGATTGTCTAATTTTCCCAAATAGGCATTTGCTTAAGACAACTATAAAAGCTAAATAGCATATAAACAGGTGAAGCCCCTTGTGTCTCTTCTACCTGCCTCAGCCCTTAGGCTTCTATCTAAATACACACCTGAGGGGTACTGGGGGTTGCTCAGATGTGAATGGTATGACACTGAAGCATGTTTTAGAGCACAAGAGGTAGCCTTACAGGGAACTGCTCCCCACTTCAAAATGCACTGGATTTTAAGCCTCCTACCAATTGCCAATAATACCTCCTTTCTCCAGTGAAAAGGAAAAACAAAAGCCATGTAAAAAAGAGACCCTGTTCCTGATTTCATTAGCAATTTTGCCTTATTAACACCAAAGTCCTGGTTTGGTAACATAGCCTTCTTCTTTTCTCATCTCTATGACAGTATCTACAAAATAACATAACTCATCTGACATATTGAATCCTTTTTAATGAGTATTTTTATTATTTTTGGTTCAATACTTTGGATTTCTGTTTCTAAATTTTATATGCTGATAATCAGCTTAGGAAAGAAATCTAAATATGCTAACTTACAGTTTCCAAAGGCAGCCTGCTTTTGTGTAGTTTTTTTCTAGTGTAAGTTGTCATTTGCTTATTGTGAGTTGTCCTCTGTAGCCATTGGATTGGTGCTTTTCAAAAATAAAAATGCTTGAAAACTGGTTAATTGAGTCTCTAAACTTAAGGAACTGAACCATCCTTTTAGGACTCTCTGGCTCATTACGTAGCTAAGTTCAGGGAAGGGTTCAGGGATGTTCCTGCCAAGAAGTTGATAAAGGCAGTTGGCAGCTCACGAGGTGGCCTTTGTAACGTTGCAGAATCGCTTACCAGAGGAATGATGATGATGAAGAAGAAGCGGCCCGGGAACGGCGCCGCCGAGCCCGCCAGGAAAGGCTGCGGCAGAAGCAAGAGGAAGAATCCTTGGGACAGGTGACCGACCAGGTGGAGGTGAATGCCCAGAACAGGTACTGTTTTCTCTGGAGTGGGCAATTTTTTTTTTTTTTTTTTTTATCATAGAGATGAGGTCTCGCCAAGTTGCCCAGGCTGATCTTGAACCCGCGGGCTCTGGCAATCCACTCGCCTTGGCCTCCCAAAGTACTGGGATTACAGGCTGAGCAACCGAGCCCTGCCTACCCTTTGTTGTTACATGCACCCTCCCCCAGCAGTGTCCAGCAACTGCTGATCCCTCCCTTGTGCTACTCATGAGTGTTCAGTTCTTGTTTCTGTGATGGATCACAGAAAGTATGATGGTCTCCAGCTCCATCCAATTTGCTGCAAAGTCCATGATTTTTTTCTTCTTTATGGCTTCACAATACTCCATTATGTATATATACCACATTTTCTTCATCCAGTCCACTTTCAATGGGTGTCAGGTTTGGCTCCATGTTTTTGTTGTGAATAGTGCAGCTACTGGCATGCATGTGCAGGTGTCTTTTTTATAGAATGATTTATATCCCTTTGGGTATACTCCTAGGAGAGAAATTGCTGGATCGTATGGAAGGTCAATTTTTAGTTCTTTTAGGAATCGCCACACTACTTTTCATAGAAGTTGAACTAGCTTGCATTCCCACCAACATTGTAGAAGCTTTCCCTTTTCTCCTCATCTGCTCCAGCATCTGTTGTTTTTTGATTTATTAATGATGGCCACCCTTACTGGAGTTAGGTGGTATCTCCTTGTGGTTTTGATTTGCATTTCCTTGATGATTAGTGAGGCTGAGCATTTTTCATGTATCGGTTGACTGCTTGGTATATCTTCTTTTGAAAAGCTTCTAGTCATGTCCTTTGTTCACTTTTTTTTTTTTTTTTTGAGTTGGAGTCTCACTCTGTTGCCCAGACTGGAGTGCAGTGGCCGCTCCTGGCCACCGCAGCCTTGACCTGCTGGGCTCCGGCCATCCTTCCGCCTCAGCCTTCCAAGTAGCCGGAATTACAGGCATGTGCTACCACGCCCGGGTGATTTTTTGATTTATTGTGGAGATGAGGTCTCGCTGCCCAGGCGGGTCTCGAACCCGCGGGCTCAGGCAATCCACTCACCTCAGCCTCCCAAAGGCACGGGATTACAGGCTGCTTTGTTCACTTTTTAACAGAGTTGTGTTTTGTTTTTTTTTTTTCAGCTCGTTTGAGTTCCTTGTAGATCCTGGATGTTAGGCCTTTGTCAGATATATAATTAGCAAATATTTTTTCCCATTCTGTGTGTTGTCTCCCCACTCTCTTGATGGTTTCTTTTGCTGTGCAGAAGCTTTTCATTTGATGAGGTCCCCCTTGTCTATCTTAGCTTTTATGGCATTTGCTTTTGGGGGTTTGGTCAAGAATCGGTTGCCTCCTCCAATGTGTATGAGTGTTTCCTACATTTTCTTCTAGGATGAAATGGGTAAGGTGTGTCTTAGCCTGACTGTTGAATGGGATCAGTCAGGCAAAGCATTCCCTTCTCTGCCCAAACTCAACCCTTTTTCAGTGACTCTTACTTGTTTAATTGTTGAGTGATCATTTTAGGCAACTAGTCAGATTGGGCAGTCAAGCTGACTTAGACATTAGGATACCAGTATTCCCGTCTCTTCACCGGATCTCCCATCTCCTAAACGTATCACAGTCAAAGGATTTTATTTTATAATCTAGTATTTTTAAATGTCCTAAATACTGTGGTATATGTAAATACAACTATATTCATTCTCTAGGTTATCACTATCTGTTCTGAGCTGAAGATGACTTAGTTTATTAGAGTCCTCCATGCCTACCAATAACAGATAACACTGGAATTTTAAAAGTAGGCATGAATTACAGATGTCTTCTTTTTCTTAATATACAGCCGGAATCAATATTTTCTCATCATTATAATATTCAGCAAGATGCAGAATCCTGCTTAACTTGATGTTAATATTCAAATACACTTAATGAGTTTTCTACTACAGTTTTTCCCACTCTGGCCCTGGTAGAAATCAGGGAAGTTGAGAATGCCTCTTAAGTTCAACTTCTTCAGAAAGGGCTCTTGCAACAGAAATAGGGTCACCTAGTTCATTATACTAGGGGTTAGTATTGTTATTTGTATGCCCCAAAGTCTAGGAAAGACAAGGATATTTTGGGGGGGAGGAATTGAGAAAAAATATTTTAATTTAAAACTATGGACTGGTTAAATATAATGGATCCACTGTATCAGGGGGAACCCACAAAACCAGAATTATCATTTGAAGGGTGAGTCCCTTGTAGTACAGGCTTCCCCTGCTAGGTAAGTAGAGGTGAAACAAAAACTGACAGAAGCACTAAAAGACATCAAAATTGACAAGTTCAAAAAGCGCTTCGATAGGGGTATTGCAGCAGAGAGTACTTTGAAGATGACTGAAGTTTAAACATGTAAAAATAAATACGCAATATTTTATAAATAAATTCCAGGTTTTTGGGGGTCCCCCTTATATATGCTCTCATGCATGGTTTTGGTTTTAGTGTGTTTTATTTTGTTTAACTTGGTCTATTTAGAAAATTCTGAAGAGAAAAGATCCTGGCCTCTTTGACCCAAATTTGAGAGGCTACATCAGAAGGTTTCTGAAAGCAAGCTTAAAAATGCTGGCAGGCAGGACAAATTTGATAAGGAAGCTTGTTGGTAAGGTGGAGAAATAGAGAACTTGTTCCTTGATAAGTAGCACCTAACTGGGGAATAATATAGCAAAGAGGATATGGAAATGATCTCTGGAGTTCACTCACTGACTTTGAATTCCTTTCACTGTGTTTCTCCACTTAAATGAAAATAAAAATTATATCTTTCTCCTAAAAATGTTGTTACACTGAAATTAGATAACAATGCATATGAAATACACAGTGCCCTGCACATAGCCAGCACTCAATTTCCACTATAAGCAGAGTCTTACAGACAGAGGGCGGCATCGCCATTCCCTTTTTCTATTTTGAAACTGAGCAAGAAGGGACAAAAGAGTTTTTAAATGACATTCTGAGGCATTTCCTAAATCCAGGTATTAGTGAGTAGTCAACAATGGCTTAAGAAGCTATCAGTGGTCTGTAGTTTTCTTGCTTTTTTAAAATCTTGCTTCTACTTACGTTTCTCTTCTTTTTTTACATTTTGTTATCATTTCATGGTATTGACTGAATTCTTTTTTTTTTTTAAAGCACATTCAGACCTGAGACCGTGTGATTTATCTCCAACATATTTTTTAGCTATAAAAATAATAAATCTTCTTAGGACTAAGCAACTCAAGCTGACATGTAACATTTACTGAGATTGTTGTCGAACAAAGAAAGGCAAAGAAAAGTTCACTACAGTTTGTTGGTTTCTTAGAGCAAACAAGTACTTTAATTTGGTAACACTCTGGAATTTTGGTACCTTTTAAAAATTGTTAGAATTCAGTTGATCCAAATGCCTTGTATATAGACTTTCCTCCTTAAATTCTAAACACTTTTTGTTTTTAGGGACATTTAATTCTTATATGTCTAATTCATGGACAGTGTCTTGCAGCAAAAGCTAAGACCAAGAAAATTTAAAATCTAGCCTCTACTCTGCCATTTTTTGTTGTTAAATATGAAATGTACTTTTCTAAAATTAAGTGAACCAAGTTTTGTATGAACCCTGAAATTTGATGGAATTTCTAAACATTTAAAGACATATTCTTCCAACTCTGGTCACAGTTCTTGGTATCACATGACTGGTTGTTTCCTGCCAGTGGAGGACCAACACCTCTGGCTTGGACAGTGTCCAGGATTCTTCAATAGTGAGTGAGGGGACGAACATGGTACAGTTGGATTTTTAGACATTTTCTTTTTTTATAAGCATCAAATTTAACTGTCCTTTATCCACTGTAGAAAAGAAAGACTAGAAGCCCTTTATTCATGGAAATTGTGACAAAGAAGGTAGATGATGTACACATTAGTTAGGCTGCTATAGCAAGGATTCCCTCCCTGGCCCCGGTCATAGTAGTTTAATGCAGTGACACATACCAATTCAGTATGGATATTTCTTTCTAGTAGGTAGAATCAGTTACCTAACTTCTTTCCTCTTGTGACTCTGTTAACTCCGATGGCTTTGGAGTCCTCTGATGTAGTCAGAGAGATAGAGAGGATAGAGAATGCACTGCTGCTTCTTAATTGCTTTGGTTTGGACTCTTCTTTTGTCCAAGTGGACATTTCACTGGCATTGGACATTCACATGGCCCTGCCTAGGTGCAAGGGCAAGGAGAGGGTAGGAAGTGCAATCCTTGGTTGGCAATCATGTCCCCATGACTATGAAAGGAGAAGCAGGAATTTTGGCAGGAACTTTTGTATCTCTTCCACTGGGGTCACTGGCATGAGTGTAGAATCTCCACACTATAACATACACTCTCTTCCTCTCAAAGTACCTTGGGTCCCACCAATACAGGTCAGGCATTCTAGATGACTTGGTGACGTGTGAGAATACTCTGGTATTAGAGGAATTCACTCGTTATTTCGGTTTGGTGCTTGTCTTAGTTTGATTTCCCCAGAAGCAAGTCCTGGAACAAAGATTTGAGCACAAGTATTTTATTTGTGAGGTGACCACAGGACACACTGGTAGGGGCAAGAAGAAGTGAGACAGGAGAGGGAAGGCAACCAGCTAAAGGTTGCATCACCAGGCAGGTTACACTGTGGTTATCTGGAGCTCAACTCCACTAGTGACCTTGAAGGTCCAATGCCCTCAGCTTTATCCAGTTCAAAAGGGAAGGGGTGCTGAGAGATTTGTAGACTAATGCCCATCCATTTTTGTTTAAGGGCTGCTCCCAGGGACATTAATACCCAAATCACTTCTGGCATGTTGAGTAAACTCCAGTGGCCAGAGAAAGACCAAAGTGAGATTTGCACATGCCATCAGCTGAAAGCCAGGCAAGCGCGTATTAAAATGATGTTAATGTCCAAGGGGCTTTGGGGATGGCACCACGGGCATCACCGGGTGGCCCAGGTGATCTGAATGCAGCTGACTGATGAATCACAAGCTGTCTTTGGTGTCGTTCTTTGTGTTGTACAGCGTGCCCGACGAGGAGACCAAGACAGCCACCACAAACACTCAGGTGGAAGGTGATGATGAGGCTGCATTCCTGGAGCGTCTGGCTCGGCGAGAAGAAAGACGCCAAAAACGCCTTCAGGAAGCTCTGGAGCGGCAGAAAGAGTTCGACCCAACCATGGCAGATGCCAGTGTGTCGCTCCCAAGCAGAAGAGTGCAAAACGACATGGCAGAAGACGAAACTGCCGAGAGGGAAGAGAAAACTGAAAGCTGCCAAGGAAGATATGAGATCGAGGAAAGAGAAACAGTCACCAAGTCCTACCAGAAGAACGACTGGAGGGGTGCTGATGCAAACAAGAAAGAAGAAAAGGAAAAGGAGGAGGCAGAAGAGAAGCCAGAGCAAGGGAGCACTGGAGAAGATCAGGTAGAGGCAATGGTGGAGGAGAAAACAGAAAGTCGAGAGGAAACAGTGGTGATGTCATTGGAAAATGGGCTGATCAGCGCAGAGGAGCCCAAGCTAGAGGCAGAGAGGGGACAGAGTTCAGATGAGATTGCCCACGATGAAGAGGAAGACAGGGAGAGAGCTGAGGCAGAGAGGGTAAGGTTGGAAGCAGAAGAAAGGGAAAGAATTAAAGCTGAGCGAGACAAAAAGATAGCAGATGAGCAAGCAAGAATTGAAGCGGAAGAAAAAGCGGCTGCCCAAGCAAGAGAAAGGAGAGAGGCAGAGGAGAGGGAGAGGAAGAAGGGGGAAGAGAAAAGGGCAGCAGAGGAGAGGCAGAGGGCCAGGGTGGAGGAGGAGGAGAAGGCTAAGACAGAAGAACAGAAACTTAGCCAGCAGCTAGAAGAGAAAAGGCCCTCTATGCAAGAGACAAAGATGAAAGGGGGAAAAGTGGAAGAGAAAATGGAAGGGAAACAGGTAAATGAAAAGAAAGTACAAGAAGATAAACCACAGACAGCTGTCCTAAAGAAACAGGTACAGTAAACACTTTGCACCAAGTGTGATGCCTGTGACCTAGGAGAAATGCCATGCACGTCCGATTGGGACTGAGGCCACATGCACACAGCCCCACGTGCTTGATCATTTGGCAAGCTGTTCATTTTTTCAGGCCATAGCAATATGCAAGCATGAAGCAGTTGGGTGATGGCTGAACGGTCAGTCAGTCGAAGTACTGGCACAACCAGAGAGAAATGAATTGCTCTGTGCTTGGTTGTTATGAATGCTAAAAAAATGAATTGACCCAAAGATGACAAATCTGCTGGTGCTGTGTTGACTTCTGGTTCCACACCTGCATCTAAACTCATTCTTTTTAACACCTTTCCTCTGTCCACAGGTTTACATGAGGCAAGAGGCCCACAATGCCTCACCTTACTCATACGTTTGATGTTGAACAAAGCAATTATAAAAGTGGGGATGGGAAATTGACAGACATAAAGAATTGCAGTCAGATGTTTTATCTTAATAAGGCAAAAATAAACCCCTGGAAATTTACTGGTAATAAGAGGGGAAAGGAGCCAGTTGAAACCTTTTATTTAAAAACGTCAAAATCCTGATTTGCCATCATGTAAACCTGAGCTTAATGTAGACTTGCAGAAAGCCATTCATTTGGGGTAGTATCAATTTATAACTGACTGGTAATTAAGAGCATATATTTTGCCTTTTTATCATCTGGGTAACTCAAATTCATGTGACCCAAAGAAGGATGAAAATAGGGAAAATGTTTGTAAGCTACAAAAGATGATTTTTCTATCTGCAAGGCTGCATTAAAAGTACTATACCTAACCACCACCACCACGCCATAAAAAAAGAAAAAAGAGACACTTACACAGTCACCTTTCCAGAGCAAACTTTCTGTCACTAAGTCTGCATTGCACCCAAGTTGGCTTTAACTCCTGCTTCTCTACAAGGGGCTCATGACACAGCCGTGAGTGAGATATTGAGCAAATAGCGCCAAACTGCACACAAGGTTTGTACACACATACAAGGGTGCCACGTCACGCTCGATTTCAGGGAGTACAGTGGCAGCCACATGAGAAAAGGTTGGGGCAGGAACAAAATATCCCACCTTGCTGCTTAGAACTGCTGGCACCAAGGGCAAGTATGAACACTGAGGCAGCTGAGAGAAGCCATCCCACGGCATGTGCAAAGCGTTCTGAGCACCCTGCACCATGTCGGCTAGGAAGAGTTTCTTTTATTTAAATGACCTTACCGTTCTTGAAAATAAAAAGGAAGAAGAAAAGGGAGCTAAAGTGCAAGCTAAAAGAGAAAAGTTCCAAGAAGACAAGCCTCCCCACAAGAAAGAAGAGGTAAATATTGTTGAGAAGCAACCTGATCGTAAAGCAGCTAGCGGTTTCCCAGGACACCTCAGGTCTGACAGTCTCAAAAGTAGAACCTCAAATCCAGTGTTGTTCAAGTCATGACTCATGGTCCATTGAATGGAGAGATCAGCTTAGAGTGTCTCAAAAGTCGCTACGTATGTCAATCAGCACTTATAAAAAATGAAATGGAATAGAAAGTATCAAGGACTTTGTAGGTAGTAAACATTGCATTGCCATGTCAATTGTCTTTCTTCTTGTGGGACACAGTCAGAAGGCTTGAGGAACACTGCTGGAATCAATCTATCCTGCTTTCTACTCTTCTGAGTGCTAATTTTTTTTTTTCTTGAGCCATCCCACTTTCATTTCAAACATGAAATATTTCCAACTGGTCTTGATTAATGCTTTAACTTTCCAAAGGAAAAACACCCACACACATCTCAGTAGAAAATTTGGTAAATGGGGATGATATTTGTTTTTCAAAAGAAAAGTTTGGCCGAATGTTCCGCATTGCATTTCTGAGGCACATAGGAGTGGTGCCAAGGTGTTTGACTGTAGGTAAGTGCATGAGGTGGTGGGATAAGGCTGGTACAGATCAAATGTCAGGGCGCTCAATGCAGTCAGAATGCCACATCAGAACGCTTGACCATGTTTTAGCCACCGGGCTTATGTTAGCCCCAAATAATCTTGAAAACTGTGAATATATTTAATAAGTTCACAGGACTTAATAGAACGTGATAAAATTAAATTGTCGGAAGTAGGAAGACTTGAATTGCTTTGCCTATGGGACTGGAGGAGTGATTCGTAGCTGGTGAGCTCCAGCCCAGTTGGGCTTTTGATACATTTCTCTGCCTGACATGGATGGCACCTATTAAGAAAATGCAAAATTTTTAAAAGAAAATCCATATATAGAAAATAGATGACCAGATTAAATAAAGGTTGGGTTATTTCCCTAAATATGTTTCATATATTTCATGTGAAAAATAAGAACCCACATATTCTATCTATGTTAATAATTATGTTCGTCTCTGTTTCTGATAGTACTAGTGGTGGTTTGGGATTGAAAGCGAATGTGAGCACTGACCAGCAAAAGGAAGGAGAGAGTGTAAATGCTAATCGCTGGAAAACCAAATTTAACTCTCATGAGGCAGCTAAGAAGATAGTTGAACATGTTAGGAAACACTGCTTTCATTTTGTGACAGAACACCTACCAAAAAAAACCTGACAGTTACCTTGGAACTAAACTCAGATACATCCCACATGAGTTCTTCTAGAAAGCTAGCATCCATGGTGAATGTCCTCAACTATAGAAGGAAGCAGGCATGAGATGATGACTCAGTGATGAAACTCAGGGAAGGAAGGCTGTAGGAAACACGGGATTCTATATTTAAAATTTCATTCAATTCATTAAGATGGGATTGGTTTTACTGACCAAAGCAGTCTATGCCTGTGTGTGGTATCTGATGGTAGATAGGACTCATCTGTGGCTGCCTCATCCGTGGTTGCCTGGTTGCCTGGATGATCCGTCTGCCTCTTGTCAGATAAGGCCCCAGTTCCCAGCAGCCAGGAGGTCAGTCAGATGTTCTGAGGGGGGATTCCAGCCCCGCCCTTTCCCCAGTTTGCCCTACAGCACATTCCAGTGTCCCAAAACTTTTGGCCTCTTTTTGACATAAGGCCAGATAAGCTTCTCAACCCAGGCTTAAAAACAAAACCCGTATTCCAGTTTTAACATTGTATTAGTTGAATGTCTAGATTTTCTGCTTTCCAGCAGGTTGTGTTATTGCTTTATGTAGACAGCTTTAAATCGTGTTTACGTGACTCAGCCATTTTAAACAACCCTTTCCTACCCACCCCTTGTTCAAAAGCAAAAAGCAAAAACAAACTAAAACTTTCCTTTCAAGGACCTGTGCACATAGGCAGCTAGGTCAACCACAAGTAAACACATGAGCCTTAGAGAAAACATTTCCAAAAGTCGCTCCAATGTCTTTTAAAAAATAAAATGAAACCCGCCTTTCTCCACTGCAGTTTAACTGTGACAATGGGTCCCAGATGATCACCAACCTTGAAATTTAATTCAGCTTTCTTTATGTCCCCTCCAATTATAAAAAGCCTCTTTTTAGTTCTTCATCCGGGAGCTATTTTGTTGTTGTTTTTTTCCTGGCCTCTAACAGAAAGCCAAGGTCTCTAGCAGAGCTGCTCATATGTGTTGTGATGTTCACGTCGTGAGAGTCAACACTTCCCAAACATTAGTGTGCCTATGAATCAGCTGAGAATCTTGTTAATGCAGAATCTCACTCAGTGAGGTCTGTGTTGTCTTGGACCAGACTTTTAGTAGCAGGAATCTAGAAGACATCCATGTGATACAAAAAAACCTAAAAAGAGACTTGAGTCTTTTGAGACTAACAAAAGCACCTTAAACCCGGTCTGAGAAACTGTAGATTGCACCCAGTTCTTGCCGCTATTCAGGAATCAAATAATGCAAAGCAGCACACCCAAGGTTCCATCTCAGTCCCCTCAACCTTCTCACTGCAGTGCCTCTTGGGCACAAAGGCATGTTGCTGAATTCCCACCCCCATATGCCCATATGTCATTCCACTGGATAACCCGAATATCCAGAGCTTTTAAATCCGATTATTACATTTGGCCAAAGCCTTTCTTATGAGTATGCTAAGACTGTCTGTGTGTGAAACACGTGAACGCCTTCAGGATACTTGGTTACCTAATATTCCTTCAGCACAGATTTTCTTCAAGGCAGCTTTCTGACTAAAAGATTTGACGCCTTTCCCAAGGTGCTTGGAATCCCCCGGGGTTGGGTTGATTCTGCCTTAGCATCCAAAAATACAATTTAAAGGCCCTATTAAGTTATTTTATTACTTCATTATTCTTTTCCCAGAAAGAGAAAGTAATTTTCAGCCAAACTCAACTTACCATTATTACATTGAGAATGTTTCTAAGAAGAAACATTCTTTCTGAAAAGAATATAGGCTTCCCATCCACTATAACCTTTGCTAGTAAAGGCAGGGATTGAAGGGGTGAAGAGGGGTATCTCTTCTGTTAGACATGCATTGTTTTACAAATCTATTTTAAGCACTGCTTTGGCCAGTGAATCAGATAATGCATGTTGGGAGGATGGAAATATTTCTGACTGCAAAATGGGAGAAAAAAGTTAAAGGGAGTTTCTCTATGCATGGTGCTCCACAAGCCATGACATTTGACTCCAAATTTGTTTCACGGGTATCCCTGAAATGAGACCTCTTCACCTCCAAATTTGTATACCCAGATATTTCTTAAACTCTAATCAGTGTTTTCTGGGGCTAAGTCCAACAATGGCAGGCCAAAGTGAGCTATACTTTGCCTCCTCCTCCTTCCCCCCTGATGACCAGTCAGGTCGGGGAGAGCGTCCTTGGCCACACTTACAGCCTTAAGTCTCATGGCCTGCCCTTCCTCCGCAGGCGGCCTCTGCCTGAATGCGAGCGCGTTGTAACTGTTTGTCTTGAAGTATTGTGAATGAACCTCACCTGTTTTGTTCTTGGGCAAAGACAGCCACCAAGGAAGCACAGTGAAGCTGTTGTCAAGGCCATGAGCTTCCTTCTCTTTGCTGTAGCCTCACGTGACAATCAGAAGCCAAGAGGGAAATGACGGGATGAAAGGTTAGGAAGGAACCATCTAATCCAATCCCATCTTTGTACATACATAGGACCCAGCATCCCAGAGAAGTTACATGACTTGTTCAAATACACGGCAGTGGAGCCAAAACTCAGATTTCCTGACTTGCAGGCAAAGCTCTTGGAGCAAATATCAAAGTACAGCTCCCCTCCTCAGCGTGTGCAAGGGATATCCCAGGTATATAGCCCTGGGAGAAAGATTGAACTAATTAGGGCAGTGTAGTAGCAAATGGTTCATCCACAGTATTGTGATCAAATAACACCCAAAGAAGACAAAGGACCGTGGAAGGCTCATCAGTAAAGAGCAAAAAAACCTGTACTCTGCTTTGTAAGCAGGCACTTAAGCAGAAGTGTTCAGAGGGCCTTTGAAGAATGCGTGAGCAGTCAGGTCAGGGCAATCACCCTTGGCCACACTTACAGCCCTGAGTCTCCTGGCCTGCCCTTCCTCCATAGGTGTTCTCTGCCAGAATGCTAGCGCTTTGTAACTGTTTGTCTTGAAAAGAATTATTGTGAATGAACCTCACCTGTTTTCACTCTCGTTCTTTAAGAATGGATGAGACAATGTAGGGTAAGTAATTTGAGCCCTTTTAACCTCTCTGCTGCAATAAACTAGGTATATTCAGTTTACTTTGAAATAATCTAATTTACCATGAGGAACTTAATACAAAACCCACAAAATATTAAAGCTAACACCTGCCCTCTATGTATTATCTTCCTCTATCTCCCACAACAATCACAAAACCATTTGTAGAGGACTAAATTTTTACTAGCAATGGAAGGCAAAAATAAACCCTGGAATTTTTCCAATTTAATTCTAACATTAATGGTTTAGATGACTACAAATGTCCCCTGTATCTCTGAGTCCTCTCCCCTAGAGGTAGAGTTATTATGTGTTCCATCTTTGAGACCCAATTACTCATTTGATTAAAATATAAGGGTGGTCTCTGGTAGATCTAGCTAACCTGGAGGGTTTCCCATTTCTTTGTTTGCCCTTCCCAAAGATTCTGTCTCCATCCAAGAAGAAATCTGTCCAAGAAACATGACCATTCTTCCATCAAACCCACAATCATAATTAACTGTTCCCAGTGGGAACTGCAGACAGCTACTCTTATGTGATGCTCCCAGAACTTAAGTTTCCAAATGGCAATACCACTGCTGCTCTCGAAAATAAGAACCCCAGTGAGATTAGCGACGATCTTGCCTTCGTAAAACTGTGGTCCCAGTCTTTGTTCACAGGCTGAAGGACCACAGCTCACTCTCCAAGAATTTCCTCTGGCCGCAGCTCTACCACATCTGGGTGATGGGTTTTATCCGGAGTTTACTGACTTCCTAACAATTTGGGGTCTTATTTGGTGATACCAACCAAAAACTAATAAGATTTTTATCATTCTGTTTCTTCCTGATGTGCACTGTCGGTTAGATCAAAGATGAGAAGATGAAAAAGGACAAAGAGCCCAAAGAGGAAGTTAAGAGCTTCATGGATCGAAAGAAAGGATTTACAGAAGTGAAGTCGCACAATGGGGAGTTCATGACCCACAAACTTAAACATACTGAGAATACTTTCAGGTAAGAGTAGTGACTAGTTAACAGTGACTGCGTTCACATGTGGGGGGAAAAACAGCCTCCCTATCTTATGCCTCCAGACAGAAACGTGCTAAACAGGCAGCATGCTTTTGTTGTGAGGTCATGAGCCATTGTCTTAGAGATACTCAGTCAGCAAGTCCGGCTCTCATTTCACTAACAGAAGACCAGCAGTCATAGCTCAGACAGGGTTTAATCTGCTTCTCCTGTTATTTTGAAAGGCACATCATGCTTGGCATTTATGTTTGTGTTCGCCGACCTACTATGAGATCAGTTCATTAGAAAACATTATGACCGAACATTATTCATTCATTCTCTGTATGGTTCGCCCACCCTCATGAAAGACCCTTCTCAGTACCATTTTATTTATTTATGCTTTTTATTTATTTTATTCTTTTTAATTTTAAATATGTGGGGTACAATTCAGGATTAGGTATACAAGTGGTTGTCATACAGGTAGTTTGGGCCTCCCTTTGGTCCCCACTTTGCCTGGTTTGAGGTCAGCTACCCTAGTATCATTTTCAAGAATGTATTTTCTAAAGGTTGCAAATAAATGTTGCATAAGGCTAAGATTGTTCTGTGGCCAAATACTTGGCAAATATTAGATTCAACTAAGTTAATCAGATCTCCTTACACAGGACTTGAGAACCTTAATGTTAATCTGCAGTGGGTGTCTGTAAGAGGGAGAAGAAGGTGTGAAACACCTGTTCCATTTCAAACCATCTGAAAAACTCTTGTATGGCTTCAGCTCCCCTCTCCTCATGCCCTCTCCCCATCAAATTGAAAATCTCGTGGCTCAGCCTGTAATCCCGCGCCGTTGGGAGGCTGAGGTGAGTGGATTGCCTAAGCCCGCGGGTTCGAGACCCGCCTGGGCAACTTGGCGAGACCTCATCTCTACAATAAATCAAAAATTAGCCGGGCGTGGTAGTGCGCGCCCATAGTTCCAGCTACTTGGAAGGTTGAGGCGGAAGGATCGCCAGAGCCCAGCAGGCAAGGCTGCGGTGGCCGGGAGCGGCCACTGCACTCCAGTCTGGGTGACAGAGTGAGACTCCAACTCAAAAAAAAAAAATCTGGGCAACTGATTATAGAGCAGAGATGACCAGTATACACAGGCAAATCCTCAATTCTAGATGCACTTGCATACCAAGAGATCTCTACCAATTTTGTAGAGGGGCTCAAGTTGCAGAAGGCTGCCATGGACACCCGGCAGCACGGTTCTCTGTGTCCCATCCCCACCACCCTCTCCAACCACTTGTGTCAAGTCCCAACCTATTATGTCACTGACTGCTGTGCCAGATGTGCTGGAGAAGAGTCTTGGGTCCCCGGCTGTGTGGATTTCCTGGGGTTGTTCTTTGCTTGTAGACTGTCTTTTTCGGAACACTTCAAATAAGAAAGTCACCAAGCAGGTATGACGCACACATTTGACACACTCCTTACACCAAAGCTTTTGTGACATCTGAAAGCAGGTTGAGCTACGAAGGATGGCTCTTTCAGGCTCATCCACGAGGCTCAGATAGATGAATATAGTTGCCCTGAGACAGTTTTCCTACACAAAAATGTAAGCAGAAACCTAGTCATATGTCTCCAAAGGAGAAGCCTAAAGCAGCAGAAGACAAGGTGTGCTTAAAACGTCCAAGAACAGCAGTGAAGGAGTGAAAAAGGGAGAATGTATAGATGTTATGTGGGCCTGATAAGAGCAGATGTGAAAATCAAGAGTGTGTTGGAAGTCCATAGAAAATCTACAGAGCTAGTTGGTTCGGGTTGATAAGCTGAGTCCAAAGCTTGCCAAAGTACCTGACGTTTAATGTTTTAAAGCCCTAGAATAGTGTCAGGCTCATGAAAACTGTTCAGCGAATATTGCCTCGTATTACTATTTTTTATTTGATAGTCTAAAATGTTTTGTAAATATGAAGTTCTAGTAAGGTATACATTTTATTTTTGTTAAGAGAAATAGTGTTCTAAAGAAAATCTGTCAATAGAAAAAAGTTTGGTTAACAATTGGCAAAAAAAATAAAAAAGCTTTAGTCAAAGTTCAAATTAATAAGTAACATGCCCATTGTGTGGAAATCCAAGAGGCTGGGTAAGTTAAAGAGAAGAAAAGTCACAAGAGATGGCAACAGGTTGAGCACTGAGGACTGTCAGTGTGACTCTGGCTTAATTTTTCCAGCTTTGGGCAGAAAACAATACAGGAACAAGCTGCTACGATGTTATTCATTTTTGTTTAGCCACTGACGTGTAAGTTCTAGCTTCAATTAGAAGTCGATGCTGCGAGAAGAAGAGATGCTGATAGAAGCAGGGAAGTATGGTTTGGTTCCAAATACTTATAAGACAAGGAGAGATATCATAGAAAAATAGAGTATGATCCTCTATTTAGATAAGTTTAGTACCTACTAGCTTAACTGAAAACCAGCTGTGTTCTTAATGGCCAAAGGTGTGATGTTCATCTTGACTTAAACCTAAAGAAGCCAAAAATAGGGGAGAGAACTTTGTGAAAGAAATTTCCACGCACGTGGCACCCTAATGCATGCCAGCACATACAGGCAGAGGTGATGTGGACAATACTCTTGATTTAATTACCATCCCCTTTGATATTCCTGTTTTCTTAAAACTAGATTGTGTTCTCTAAAACATGACATAAAAATCTCAGTTTGATGAGAAAGTTATAGAGGGAGAAGATTATACCAAGTTTTATAAAAAGTACAAAACAAGGGTGTGTTTGGTTTTTACTTTTTAAGGTGGGAATTGAAAGTTTTTTCTGATTACAGAAATAATATGTACTCCTTATACAACCCTCAGGAAATAGAATTAAAGTAAGCACCCACCACCCAAAGGTAACTGGTTGCTAGTAACATTTTTCCAGATATTTTTCTGTGTATATAATGTTCAAGATAGACATGCACATAGTATGTACGAGTATAAATATGTACTTTAAACTGGTTCTTGCATCATGTATAACAAGGTATTATAGCTAGGTTTCCATACCAATAGACATAAACCTACCATTAATGGTTAGAGTGTTCCGCTGGATGGAGGTATTGACTTACTCAACCAGTCCATTATGAGCATTGATTGCCCAAAACGAACACTGGCGACACCTAGTGGAATCCCAAGGTATCTCTCAAGGCCTGAGTGTTGTCAGTGCAGCTCCTTGCAGGAATATGATTAAAAAGAGAGAGCAGACCCCATTCCCTGCAACCCCTGTCCTCAGACCTCGCCCCTGCCCCACCACACACCGAATCCAGACCCAAGCCTCTCCCTAGGCTTCACCCCCACAAAAAAGAGGGAGCAACCCTGTTTTTGAAGGGAGAGATCTCATTAACTGAGAAAGCAGTCGCAGGCCTACGAACTTGTAAGACTCTGAAAGAAAATATAAAGTTTTAAGAGACCCTCTAACCTTGTTTGAATTCAAAATAAAAGAGCTCATCTCTAACTGTCAAGCACCTAGAAAAATGTCTTTAAACTTTTAAACCTGTCATTAGTAAAAAATAAGTTTTACCTCATGACTCAGTGCATGCCTGCATTTATACTTATAAACGAAACAAGCGTGTCAGGAAGTGGCATTTTCTTTGGCTCTGTGCAGTGCACTCTGATGCTTTCTATTCCATTTTTTAAAATGCTGATTACAATCCACTAAATTGATTTTCAGATCTGCAGCTTGAAAAAGCATTGTCCTTGTAGACACGATATAATCAGAACCACCTCAGGTGTTTGAAAGGCATGATACATATACTCTCAAACCAATATTGTATGGTGTATATCCTGAACCTACTCATTGTTTTATCCTTTCTCTTGCTCCATAGCTAGAAACACCAGGTCATTCTTTACATGGAATAGATGATGTCAGACAGTGGTAGTTCATTTGTTTCTTGGATGAAAGTATCAGGAATGGGCTGTGTTCACATCTAATTAAGAATGACCTCACTGCTTGCTAATAAGGATTTAAATAACAAGCTATATCTTTGTCTCTTAGTTAAATATAACAAGCCCCTTCAAGCACATCTCTAAATTCTTCTAAATAAAGGCCCAGGAGAATCCAGCTTACATAAGTTCTACCTTAATGAAAACATAATGTTCTGCTGAAATTCTACTTTGAGTACCAACCTGTTTTAAAATAATCTATGTCCTAACCCCATTAGGGAGCAAATTTATTAAAGGAGCCCAAGAAGGATCAGTAGATGCTAATGATATGTCCACATTTTTTATGTGATTTGTGTACAATACCAGGAATCCCAGTTCTGAAACAAAATGTTAACATAAGGACTCTTGGGGTAGCTGTCTTCAGTCTTAACATGTTCCCAGTTCTGCAATGAAATCCCTGCAGGTCATCCTTAATCACAAAAGAAAATTCAACATAATTTCCATTTTAATTCCTGCTTACAAAAACACACCCATTTTCTTCCTGTGGAAAAGGAAACATTCTGATGAAATGACTTCCTCTCAAGCACAGAAGGTAGCTAGACCTAAACTGTAGAAATTCTAGAGACTTAGAAGGTGGAAAAATTCCTCACAACTCTCCGTCCTCAAGGTTTGAGGTGAGAGGTGGGGAGGTGAGCTAGCATGTTCGATTTAGAGCGATTCATTGTTTTATAACAAATTATATTTCAGGTCTAATTATAGTGTAGTGACAAGAAGGGTACAACTGTTGAGAGGCATTAGAGCCTAGCTGTGGCACAACCTCTTTCTAGCCACCAAGAATTTGGGTGGCTCCCTTATCCTTAAGATGGAGATAATAAACCTAACCTACCAACTCCCCGCCTCCTGTGATTATTAAATGAGATAATTAATATGAAAGGATTTAGGAAGCATAAAGGGTAACATTTACGTGACAACTCTGGCCACATCATGTGGACATGTTGAGCTAATTTAGTAACTTTAAGTCCTCACAAGGAATATTCTAGTTGTGTTGGAGTCAAAGAGGGTTGAAAATAGACTGAAGTCACAGGCTAATGCAGCCGTTAACAGCAGCTCTGTCAGAACGGACAGTATTACTGTCTGGTTCTTAATCGCAGACAGAGGTGGCCCATCTGCCAGAGAGCAGCCGCGAGAGCCAAGCTCAAGGCAAAGCTGTGGGTAGGGGCGTTGTTTCAGTGCTGCCCCTCGTCTGGCTGTCCTTCCATCCCCAGGGCAAGAGCCTTTCTGTGTTCTTTCCTGTCCCGGGACTCCAGACATATCCGAGTTAACCGGTAACTGAGGGGAGAGGGCTGGTAGGGTCACTCCTGGATTCAGAACTCATCCCCAAAGTCATGTCTGGACTGCATGCCTGCCTTCCAACAGCAACTAATATTTAGACGTAGACGATATATAAATTCACATTGATATAATATACAATCCCACGTGACTCATTGAGGTAAACAGAATAAGTAGTATTTGCTCCATTTTCCCCATGTTGGAGCTTGTATATTTTTTTAATTGAGCTTAAAAAATAACCGCACATAGCATAAAATATACCGCCCTGGCCACTTTTAGATTTACAGTTCGGCAGTATGAAGCCGATCCGGTGTCGTGCAACGGCTCTCCAAAATGCTCTTCGCGTGGCAAAACGGAACTTCTGTCCCCACGAAACAGCACCGCCCTGTTGCCACTGCCCACCCGCTCCCTGCCCCGGCAACTACCATTCTGCTTTCCGCCTAGGAAGGCGACTGCTTTAGATCCCCGTGTAGGCGGAACCCCAAGCGCGAGTCTTTCGGTGACGGCCCGTTCCACGTCGCACAGCACCCTCGCGGGCCTCCAGGCCGTGGCACGCCCGGAGTCCCCGCCCAAGGCTTTCTCCTGCTCCCTTGCACGGATGCCGCGACTGGCTAAAGCCGGGGCCACGTCCTCGGCCCCCCCCGGCCCTGGGCGACG